CACTAATATCTGCTGCAATTCAGAGCCATAGAGTCCCACCTACGTGTGGGCTACCGCCCAGGTTTAGGTCACTCTTCTCCCCCAGCACTCAAAAAAGATACAGACATGGGGGGTGGGGGTGGTGGGGGTTGAGGGAAGTAGCAGTGATAGCCATTCGTCACCCTGCCTATCTCGCTCTGACAGATGGGGAGTGTGGCGTGCCACATAGAGGAGTCACTGCCTATAATGACATTAGAGGCACAATGAGACCTGATACACATTTTTTTCTGTACCCATCCTGCCTGGCCATCGTCTCGCTCCTTTGCTTGATCCTTCCCCTCCTCTCATTTCTGCTGGTATATCTCCATCCATCCTGACAGGAGATAAAGTGCTGTGCACCACTATTTCCAAATAAAGCACAAACACACAAAAATGTGCTCACAAACACATCCACATTTATACCGGCACACGCGTCAATAGCTACATCAAAAACACAAAGAAGAAACCTCCAAAAATCTACACATCTGAAAAAAAACTTTAATGTTCTCGAGGAAAAAAATCTTCTACATGACAGAAATGCTCAAGTAAAAATGGAGCACTGAGTGTGTACTGACATTCAGATTGTATTTGGAAAACCATATTAAAGCGCTTTTTTTCGTCCTCCTCTTCAAGGAAATGGGAGTTTATTTAAAAAGAGAGAGCGTTTATTTAATGTACCATACACCTCCTAAAAGGTTTACTTACTGCAGTGTAATATGTTATTTCAAATCCTCACAACCACATTTCCTAGGAGGATAGGGGATACTGGCGTTTTATATATATATATATATATATATATTTTTTTTTTTTCAGGACACATGCTATTACCAAATGTGTTGCAGATGTACCATGGGCCGAGGCTGTGCTGCCGAGGTGGGGTTTCTTGGAAAAACATCGCCAATCCTGTCATGATAAATCACCTTCCCCAATTTGCTATAACGTGTAGAATTAGGATTCGAGAACATCAGCCTCAGCAGAATTGTACACACGCTGCATTTATAGGAGTGCAAGTTTCATTTTTAACATGTTCCCTCACAATTCTCTGAATGCAGAAATCTAATAAGATAATTGGCTGCAACATTTGTTCTTGGAACTAGGGTTTGTGTACGTGTCTTCTCAACTGTGTAGCTGTCTTTCAAAGTGAAAAATTAGTCCAGAGAATGAGTCAAGGTAAAGTTCCTCTTTTTGTCGCCCCATTGATTCAAAGGAGTCATCTTCAGTGCCTGTCCTCAATAACAAAGCCACATTAACAAGCACCCTACAGACCGTCTATTACAATGTGAAAAAGCACCATGTGCTGTATATTAGTTTTTAGTGACTAAACACTTGGGAGAGAGGCGACCTAGAATCAAGCTTGTGGTGCACTGAGTGTATATGTTCTCATCGTCCTCTCAGCTCCACTTCTGAGACACACAGGAAAAGAGAATGCTCATTAGATCTATGTGCTGAATTGCTGCTCCCTCTCCATCTCTCCCATCCTCCCCCAACCTTCATCCCTCTCTCTCTCTCTCTCTCTCTCCGTCCGTCTGCTTAACAGATGGGAGGGTCGTGGGTACAGCTCTTCCCCTCCCCCTGGAGAGGCCTGGTGACTGTTCAAAAGATCCCTCTTTATGCTTCACTCCATTTCCCTCTCTTCTCTCCATTTCTCTGTTTTCCTCTCACCATTCTCCTTCTCTTTCATTGTCACCTCGCCAACTCAAAGCGCAGTGACTTGGGACCTGCAATATAAAACAAGCAGACGAGCAACCGTTGTCCCTCTGTCTGCTTGGTGCAAGCACGCTCTCTGACCTTAGCAGTCGCCTGCTCCGGCCTCCTTCCAGTTACCAGGCTGGTGTGAATGCAGGCATTCCATTTGTCAGAATCCAGAGAGAAAAGAAGAAGAAGAAACCCTTTTGTGTATTCTCCATTTTCCACAGTCCATTCCCTCTTTCCCTACGCCAGACTTTTGGGATTAATGAAGTGGCTTAGTGCGTGCAAGCTTGTTAGTTCTTTCTTCAGCCTCACTGTGTCTTAATTTTTTCTCTTGTTACTTTCTCACCTCATTTGCCCTCTCAAGGTCAGGTGTCATTGTCAGTCTGCTGCAAAAAATTCCTGCTGAGGATTACTGCCCTGTGCCACTTGACCATATTCACTAAGCAGTGCTTGTTTCCTGCATTTCCTTCCATTTCACTGTCTTGGCGTCATGAGGCTAAATTGGATTGAGTGATTCAGTGGTAATCTGTTAAGTTAAGTGATGCTCTATCCACCACGAGAGAAGGAGATGGAAGGAGAGGGAAGGGAGCCCGATGAGGAGGTGGGTACTCGGTTCTTATCCAGGAGCTGCCTGGCACTCATGTGGGACGGGGGCGGGTGTGATGAAAAGTGGGGGGGAGATGTAGGGATGGAGGGAAGGGAACTTGCGTCGTTGTGTAGGAGGAGGTAGAGGAGGCAATAGTGAGAAGGGATGGGGAAGGGGGTTTGGCTGAGGTGGGGACGCACCGACACGGGGCTAAGTGGCAGCAGAGCCTCACCTCAGGGAGCATTGGCTGGTTCTAAGTGCCAAAAGCAGGGATTAAATGTTCAGGACACGGTCTTAGTTTTAGCATTAATGTTACGTAAGGCCTAAGGTGTTGCCCCAGCGGCTGTTGACATTGAGAGGTTCAGTTCTGCTCAGTGGGTTGTGGGAGGAACAAGGAGGAGGTGGAGGCCAGGAGGCAGGGATCACAGAGGGCAACGCCTCCTTGTTTGGAGCAATGCCCGGGCTGGGTAGTGTCGAATACAAAGACTGGGAGGGGATGATGCTGTCAGCCTGTGATTGAGGTACGCCGACTTGATTGATATCCTTGTCTGGCTGTCTTGTGCCAAGCGCCTTGGTGTTGGCTTGTAATCCTAGTTTGTCTGACAACATCCTTCTTTGTTTTCTACCAGAGGGCAGCTCTTTGTTTTTCTGTCTATGGATGGGTGTGTTTGCGCACAGCAATGCTAAAATGTTTTGGATAGCCTCTTCAGAGCTGCCACAGTTATTTTAGATCTTGTTATTATTATGATGGTGCAGTCCGGCTGTTGTCCTAACTGCCAAATGATGCATTTATGTTTGTATCTCATTTCTTCCATAAGTGGGCGTATTCTAAACCATCAAGTTTTTTGTCATGCATTTCATCATTGTTCAAATTGTATTGTCTCATTTTGTTTTCCATCTTTGTGCAATGGGCGTTTTTGCAGAGAATTTTATAATATACAGAATAATAAGTGTTACTCTTTAAAAATGTAATATCTTTACTAAATATGTGTTATACATATGCACTCTGAAGGCCCACATCATTATGCTAGTCTTGGCCTTAACTAAACTAAACACTACTGTACTATTGATTTTGAAAGAACCAATCAGGTAGTACACCACCTGTAATTTCTGTTGCAAATGAAAAGAAATACAGTTATGTTCTACTGCAACAGGCCTTGGTCTGTCACTAAGAGCCACAGTATGCCAGAATGTCCCTATTAAGCGCTTTCATTATCAATGTCCTACTCTCTAGCACAAAGAGGTCAAGTGCATGGCAATGTGCTGCGCTCACCTCAGGGGTTTAGAGCTTTCTTGTGCTTTCTCATGCATGTTACTCAATAAATACATGGATTCAGGTTAGGGAAAATTTAAAAAAAAGGAAAGAAGGGGAAAGCAAGTGCATTACAATGTGCATGTATGTGTGCGGGAGTTGTGCAAAGGAGAGAATATGAGAGAGTGAGGAAGAGAGCAAGGGTGTAAGTGAGAAGAGAGAATGATAGAGAGAGAGACTGAGACTGACATGTCTTTTGGTGAAGCGGTGTCATCTTCCACATCAATGTCTGATGCTTGTGCTGCCAGGTGCCGGAAATCTGGTTCAGAAAGGAGAGAAGAGAGAAGAAGGGGAAAGTAGAGAAAAAAAGGCAGGGTAGATGGAGGATTTTTTTTTATGTGACGGCGCTGACAGCTCCCCTGCATTGCACTGAGCTTAAATAATGGGATGCTCATTTGCATAACGAGGGACGTTATCACCTCTACTGTCAAAAGAAAACACAACAACAGTTCTTCTGCTCCTCCCTGAGATAGATTGGGTTGGCCTACTTTAGCACTCTGGAGAGATGCACTGGAGCTCTGGCTTAGCCAAACTCACACAAGAACATACACACACACATGTGTACGCACACACGGACACACAGTCACTCACTCACGCAAACTTTTTGGAGCGCAGCTTTCTTTTTTGCACAAGCAGTCCAGCTCATCAGCTGCTGGCCTCCTCTCCTCAAACACGGGTACACACACCCTCAACCATGCACACATAAGCAAACGCAAGTGCATTTATTCAGATGCTCTTCAGATGCACTCCTGGACATGTAACATCTCCAGCTGGATTAAGTTCATGTTGGAATTTTGTTTGATTTCTGTCTCCAAGAAATGTCCTTTTACCAGGTTTCAAAAGATCTCTTTTGGCCCTTTTTCTTCTTTAGTTTTTTGGCTTGTTTTGTCAGAACAAGACGTGACTGAGCTTGATTTTACATCTGTATTCTATCCTGCAACTCATGTCTGCCATTTTGGAGATGAGCTGCAGATAGAGTAGAAAAAGCTGTGTCTTGCAGTTCCACTGTCAATACAGTGCAGTTCGTGGGAAGAAACAAAATGTATTTCTCACTCTGGAGGTAATGTTACAGTGTTGGTGATTAGAGCGTTTAAGTTAGCGGCACTTCCAAAACACTGTCAAACTCTCTGTGAACGAAGCGAGATCCTGACAGCGCTGTCTCCTCTCATAGTCTGTGCTTGGGAAAAAAATGCACAAACTGATTTGCATGATATCGACAGTGAAAAACACAGCGGTTCTCACAACATTGTTGACAGATTCTTTGTCTTTCTTCACCCTCCCTTGTGGCTGCCGTGATGCCACTTTTATTTTTTTTTTTCTCTCAGTATTTTGCCATATTTCATTTCATTTAATGCTCATCCTCTCCTCCCCCTCTCCATTTCTTTCTTGCAGGTACGGATGCTGGAATCTTTGACTTGATTGGAACAAATAGAAAGCAGAAAAAAGACAGATTAAGAAAGAGCAGAAGAGTGAAGAGAAAGAAGAAGAAAGAGGAGAGTGAAGAAAGCATAAAGTTCTTTAGAAAGAGGAGAGAAAGAAAGAGACGGGGACGATGGGGAGGAAAAAGATTCAGATCACGCGGATTATGGATGAACGCAACAGACAGGTAAGTCCCAGGGGGATGGGAGGATGGATGAGTATGAGGGTGGGGAAGAGGAGGGGTGGAGGAGGGAGGAAGGAGAAACACCCTACACCCCACATAGTCCTCAACAATGAAGGTCTTCTGGGAGTCTAGGCAATATGAGAACTGGGCACCAGAGAAGTGTTTGCGGGGATATTGCTTTGGGTGGGAGAGCTCCATTGGCTTATAATGGCAGGTTTGTTTTTTGTAACAAACCAGTGTGTGGGCACCAGGAGGATTTTTCCTAAAAGGGATTTGCATGAGAACATTTGTAATTCTCAAAAACCATTCTGCATATCACTACACACTCTGAGGGCTGCGGCCTACACACAACTGTAGCACCCTTCACACACCCAACCTCTCACACCATGCCACTCAGTTTAGCTCGCTAGCAGTGGAATATTACCGGACAGAGGGTGGTAGCACTGGAGAGGCAGGGTGGGAGAAAACATAAAACAACCAAACAGAGATGGGTCTTAAGTGACACACTGGACTGGGCCAACAGGGTGGAGATGAAGGGCAGCCTGGGAGACAAACACTGAATCAGTATTTTATTTATTATCATTATTATTTTTTGACAATAATAAATATAAAATAATAAATTAGTGACAGTGGGAGTGTTGTAGCGTTCCCCTGCATAGCACAAGAGATACATTTTTAACAAGTGATACTGTACATAGCTTGAAAAAATTAAATCAAATAACAAACCTAACAACAATGGAATTCTTGCACACTTTTTAGCAACAGCTGGCAATACTTCAGGCAGACATAATAAATGGTGGACGGCGTGATTCAAGCAGACACTGCTGTCTGTGGCAGGAAATAGATAGAGACAGAGCTCTCTCACTGTCCTCGAGGCCCACAATTGATCACTTCCTGTGGCACGACTGACCACTGACACTTTGTCAGCTTCCTGGCAGCCCAATTGGATCCATACGCTTCTAACGTGGCCCCTGGATTACAGGTCAAACATGCACGCAGGCACACACACGTCGTCTGAACACAAGACCGCTTCATTCCTTTGGCAACATCTTTATCGCTTTATCAAACAGTCATTTTCGTCCAGAGTAAAGCGACATAAAGAGGCTCAAGCTCATGATGCTGGAGAAGTCATTGAATCAGATTGTGACCCCTCTCATGACTCAGCTTAACAAGATGATAGTGAGAAGGGAGTGAGAATATGAGTGTACCTGTGATAAAAAAAAATCCAGTAATCATAATTTTACTCTCTGTGATACACAGCATGCTCATTTAAAAAACAAGGTGCCTTTAGAGTCAAAGCTGCAGCACAAAAGAGAGAGTGAGAAAGATACATGGGAAGAAAGATTTAAAAGACAGTAACAGTATGCATTTATGTACAGTGTACTGTGATTTATGTATTTGTTATTGAAAGAGAGACAGACAGAGACAGAGGAAGAGCAAGGAGGAGGTCACAGAGTTTTAGATGAGGTCTAAAGCTATCGTGTTGCAGCAGCACCCACAGTTCCTTACCCTATCTCAGTCCTTCTCTCTCATCCCACCTTAGACTGGGCCTGCCAGTTGCACCAGGCACTCCGGCTCCTGCGGATAAGGAGGGAAAGAGGGAGACAGGAAGGACACCTGAGGGAAATCGATGCCTGAGATATCCGGGCTTTACTTACAGAGAGAAGAGAAGCGAGGAAAGGAGAGGCAGGAGAGAGAAAGGCTTCAGGGAAAGGAAAATCAATATATCACTGGATTTTGTTGTTTTGATCTCTAAATAGATTACTTATTTAGTTGCTCGTTTCAGTCGAAAAGCAATTCCTACTGAAATTATGTCATCAAGTCATGTGGAAAACACCACATGCATGCAGAGCATATTGCATTCAGTGTCATTCAACCTACGGCCTAAATATATGACATCACCACATTTTGTAGAGGCGGACATCACAAGACAGAGACAGACACAGAAACTTAAATTTTCTTCTTAAAAGAAAAAACAGAAAAAACGGAAGCTTTGGCTTTGCATATTTTCACTTCCTTTTTGAGGAAATGTCCCAGAGCCCAAGCCAAATAAACACCAGAGGAATTTGTATAGAGTTGCTTTAAACCTTACATATTTCACATACTTTTACTGTTTGCTTATAAAAAGTGTATTGCCTTCTTCTTAAAGCTCTTCTGCGGTCTTCTATATGCATTTTGTACACAGAAGTATATAATGATAGTGACAGTTATTTAGTTAAACTATGAATATCCAACAGATATGGTACAATTCCTGTCTCTGTACAAATGAGCAATTTTAAGTTATTGTAGCATTCCCCGCTGCGATGGACTGGTAACCTGTCCAGGGTGTACCCCGCCTTTCGCCCGATGTCAGCTGAGATTGGCTCCAGCCCCCCACGACCCTGTATGCAGGATAAGCGGTTAACAATGGATGGATGGATGGATGTAGCATTCCCGCTGATGTCTACATACACACGTCATACTGCAGTCCTCTTTGGTCTTTGGAGTGGCACCACTCTGTGTGGCTGTCAACGCTACCTTTCCACCTACAGGGCTGCACTGCCTCCCAACCCCTGCCCTCCCTGCAGCGGCAGTATGATAGTGGGCAGAGGGCCTGGTTCTCTTTGGGCGGCCACTTTGGGCTGCCACCCCCAGGCCCCAAAACACTTCCCCAGAGCAGGGGCAGAAGGGCCAGGCCTCCCTGGCGTTGACTGGCTGCCCAGAGCTCTGGACACTGGGCAGCAGTGTGTGAGCCCTGGCTCCAAGCCCCCTGACCACTCAGACCCTCTCCCAGCCTCGGGCACATGAAAGAGCCCCCTGTGCCATAAACTCATGGGCTGCAGACATAGAGCAGTCTCTCTTGCCCCAACTAGCACACACACACACACACAGATAGGCATACACACCTACAGTATGAGATGCTTGCACAGGTGTGTGTGTGTGTGTGTGTGTGCGCATACACACACTGGCATAGATTTGAGACATAGCAGATTATACACTCAGACACACAAATTAAATGGTGTATTTAGTGTCTTGTTTATGCAGCATAGATAAATGCATGGTTGTAAACACATGTACACATCTAAAGCACATCTATCTCTCCGGAGTCGGTCTTGGGGATCGACTAATTTACTGCAATTGGCTCTAATTAGTGTTACCTCTCCAGCCAGTAGACTCACTGGGCTTAATTTAGGATGACTTGTTTGTGTAAATCTATGTGTATGTGTGTGTGTGTGTTGTGGATTCCAAGGGGGAAGGGACCCAGGGCCAAAGGTTAAACATGAATCAGGTCATCAGTGACATGAAGTAAACCAACAGGATCGCCCAACTCCCACAAACAGCAGTCGCACTAACACGTACTTGGCTGGAAGAAGATAAAAAAAACAACATATTTTTATGTTTGCCTACATGTGCTGCTTCTCTCCCCTCACCATGTTAACTACAGCACTGCAGCTGAAAGAAAGGAGTCTTTTTGTTTCTACGACAAAGCATTCTTCTCTCCAATCAACAGCACTCGGGTGAGAAAATGTGCGAGTGAAATTAACAGCAGGAAAATAATGAGGCCCACTGGGTAGCTACTCACCCCTGCACCCCTCCTCTAATTCCCTGTTTCCCACCTTCTACCATCTCCTTCTTTTACCACAGCAAGTGGCACGCCTCTTTGTCATATGTTCAGTGCTGCGAGACCTTACCTGAAAAGGGCTCACTAAGCTCTCACCTTCCTTCTGCTGTATTTTTATTCTCCTTTATCCTTCTCAACTTATTTCTTGTTTCGTTTCTCGTTCACATGTTCTTCACGTGGTTCATTTTGCTCTCTCACCTCACTCTAATTTTCACTCACTAGAAAGTCTTAATGGTTTGTCTAGCTTCCTCTCTTTTATTTCCTTTGTCCGCTATACTGCTCATTATGTTGGGCTTTCAAAGTCTTTTTAGGTATCAGGGTGTATTTTGAATTTTAAAAAAGTAGTGACATTTTATGACTAATGTCTAATACAAAATGATTTGTAAAAATCAGATTATAAATATTTGTTTGTTGACATATAATCTGTAGACTGGCAATTTATTGCTATTTTAGATTGGCTTTTAAAAAAAATATTTTGAGGGAGTGGCTCATGAGCTCATTTATGTTTACTCTCCATATTTCTCTTCCCTCTTTATTTCTAGAAGCAAATTCTGAGCTGTGCTCGTAATAAGAAGACTTCATTTAGTGAAAAGTGGGGTTAATAGGGTCTTCTTGCAGCAGAAACCACTAAAACAATTAGATGCATGGGGACATATCCGTGTGATAATTCGTTTAAACCAATCTGCTCCTGTTTTTTTGTTTTTTTTGTGGAAGCTGATGAAAAGTGAAAACGATGTGCCTTAAGTTTACAATCCCAGCCTCAGTGCCACGACAAAAGTTTATCCACCTCAAATGAATGACAAGAAGGTTATTTTTGTCATTCCGGCCACTAACTTGAGCCTTGCGATGTAACATCCACTTTTTCCAGTTGCGGGTTTTCAGCATAAACAGGAGCATACAGAGAAGTTGCCTAGCCAGCCATTACAGTGCTGTTCTGAAATGTAATTACAAGTTCTGGTAAGAAGGAGAATCTAAACTGGCATGTACTTTAAGACCCCTATAACTAAAATTGGCATAATTAAGACACCACTCAATCAGTTCCACAGGTTAGCTTTTAACTACTCAAAGTGGACACTTTCAATTCAGACACTGAAATAAAAAATGTTTGCTGCCTCCTGTTCCTGCTGTATAATAAAGGTGCACTGAAAACGGATGGTAAGTGGGATTTTGAGAGAGAAGAGCATAGCATATATTAGAGGTGGGACAAAGGCTCTTTTGTCATAATGTCCCTCTTAACAGCTTCTTTGGCTGTGAAGCAGAGTTCAGGCCCAGGTCTTGGGCTCCTCTTATTCCTTTTTCATAAGCACGTGTCTTCCTGCTTGGCCCCTGACAATGGGATAAGTGTTTGTCTCAAGACCAATCGTGCTGCTTCATAGCTGACTGACATCTACGTGTGTGCACGCTTGTGTGTATATGTGTCCCCACATGGCCATGTTTGGTTTGCTAACCAGCAGTTTTTGGTGCCTGTCTCTCCACTCCTCCTCTTCCTCCACCTCCTCCTCCCCCAGGGAAGCAGGCAGGAGGTGGGAAGCAGAAGCGAAGCCATTGTGAAGGGGAAGCCACTGGCCTCTTCCTGTTATGAGAGGAAATGCATACAAATGTGCTTCCTGTGCGTCCGCCCCCTCCCTCCCCCTCCCTCTCACCCAAGCAGCAGAATCAACCACTATCCCTCCTTTCTTTTTTGTCCCTCTGTTTATCCTGGGCATTTTTCTCCTTTTATGCCAGAGGAAATTTGACATGTCAATTGTGTAGAGAAGAACTGATTATTTTATTAATATTGTTGTTATGTGTGTTGTTACTGGTCATTTTCTAGTGATAACATACACGTAACTACTTATAAATGCACACACATATATTGTAGAATCAAAAAAAGAAAGGGCAAAATTGTTTTAAAATGTGTAAATTAAAATTAACTAAAGAGAAGCATGTGCTCGGAAAGGGGATGTGATGGTAACATGTTTAGGTTTTTACAGGGGTGTGTGTCTGAATGCATTTGTGTATGTTTCTGAATCTCTCTTGGGATGGGGTTGCGGAGGAGGATAGGGGTGAACAAATAAGGCTTGTGTGTCACAATGAGTATACATTTTCATGATACATATGCCTGTGAGTGAGTGCCCATTATGTATAAAAGTACTTGAGAGTAATACTAATAAATGCTTGTACGTGTATAAGTAGGTATTTGTGTATATATAATAAGTAGAAGGATTTGAAGGACAATCGTGTGCTATCTCTTATTGTTGCCATGAGCTTTTTCATAATTGAGTAATCTCTAGAGGGTTAAGCTGTTGTTGTCAGATTTGCTTAGTGTTCATAGTCAGGAAGTTTACATGCACAAACATTCAAGGAAACTTTGAGATATTCAGGCCAAAATTCTTAATGATTTTTAGTTGTAGATGCAGAGCCAGAATGCATAGTGTTGGTTGACATTTGAGACTTGTCCTGATTAACATGTGTTACATATTTTTATGGGGAAGTATCTGTGATAAGTTGAGAATCGTTGCCTCTAACCACTTCATAAGAACACACAGAGACTGTCCTAGATGTTTAAGATGACAGTTTGAAAGTAAAGTATCCCATTAGGCCATAATTTAGCCTTTACCTCAACAATCGCCAAAAATGGTCCACAAAATATTCCTTGTTGTGTGTGTGAAGATATGTTTCACACCCTGGTTACCAAATGTAAAAAAAAAAAAAACACAGTTGCTTTCACGCTCACACACTTACGCCGCCCCCCTTTACCAGTACACACAGTTGCTGTAATGTCATGCTCTCTGTTATTAACATAATGATGTGTCTAACAGCACCCACTGACCAAGGAAACAAAGATTCCACCCACACTGACATACGGGTGGTTTACTATTTTTTTATTATATTTTTTTGTTTAACAACAAGCACAGAGGCCTCATTCAGTGAAAAAAATAGATAGATATTGTCCAACTTGATCCAAATGCTACACACCAGCATCAGAGTTTCAGGTAATTCACTGTATAAATTAGAAATAAAATTTGTGATTTCTGCACAGTAATTGTTAGTTCCCTCACAAACTTTTAGAAATAATGGCACATACTAAAACTGAAAGATCTTTCATTTACTGTGCTGCTTACAAAATTAGTTCATTATCATGATATTTTATGAACATAGACTATAACCTTTTTACTAATGGACAACTTTCTTCTCATAAAGGCATCAAGGGCATCTTTAACTGATTGTAGATCGTGTCTGCCATTCAGAGCATCTGGTTAAAATAACCACTCAGGGTGCAGAGCAGGCGCTCCTTGAATACAGGTCCTGCGCACTAGTTTACCACGGCTGTGTGGGCTGAGAGAGCTGTTTTGAGCTTGCACAGGAAAGGCCACTGGTGACATCACCGGCCTGAATGTTGGTGCGCTAAAAGGGTCACATGACGGCATCATGTGAGGCCATGAAGTCACGACAGAGTAACCTCAAGCAGTGAACTTAAATACTGAATATAAAAATGCAAAGCTGAGATGCAGTACAAATGAGCACATGCCACATGATGTGTGCACCAGAATTCATCATCAAGATAGCATTTATGTGCAAGCCAACTGTCTTTCAAAATATGTGTGTGTACTTGTTGGAGCGTGCATTCACTGTATATATGCCTGTGTTTTATGGATGTATGTGCATAGTAAAATTAGTAATATATGTGATTTGGATGTAGTAGCTTGTACGTGTCAAACTGAGATGTGGGTGCAGTGTGATATTTATGTAGGTGTTATTGTTTGGTCAGTTAAGGCTCTTCATAATCACACTCATTCTCTTCCTGTGGTGTTGTTAAAGTCAGTCTATGTGTGAATTATAATATGTGGGAAATGCATGCACAGTTCCTCATTTAAAGTGTGAGGCTCAAGACTTTGATTGGATTCTGTTTTTTTCATCTTTACATTTTGAAATGAGAACATCGAATGAGTGTCTTCCAAGTTGCTTGTTATACCTTACACTTCTGTGTATGAATGTGTGTGTGTGGTTGTGCTGATGCGTGTGAGTGGTCCACAAATATGTGACCGTTCTGAGCCAGCATGTGGACCTCCCCTTTGAGGCTAGCAGATATGGACCTCTGGGACTCCCAGCCCACTGTGTGTGCCACGTGCCACCTTTTGAAACATTAATGGCCCCAGCAGAGTGTGTGACTGAGTGAGTGGGTGATAACGGAGCTGGGCCGGCAGCTAGCTGTGTCCTGCATTTGCTCTCGGTGACCCTTGCATCGAAACACCAGGGGAAGACAACACTCTACATGTCCTGTTTCTGAATAGTCCGCTTTGACCTTATGTCCTACAGTCCTATTGTCTTATTTACTCGCTCATGTACGATTTGTACCAAGCTGGCAGACCTCTTCAGGGTACCTTTCAGTTTTGGTCGGCACAGCTCAGAGTGGGTTGGAAATGACAATTAATCTTATTGTCACAAGATAACTTTTGATCATACAGTGTTAAGAATGAATGTTTTTTTCCCATTTCAGTGTGACTGTGTAAATGTCAGCATGATATTTAGAGCCCAGGGGAGCTTTTTCTCCTTATGCCATTGGTGAATCAGATGAGTGTTTGTGCCAAGGTACAGAACCTGACATTGCACACACCGGTTTGTAAGGAGTTAGAATGCTGTGTCTCTGGTTTCAGCCTCTGTAGTCTGACAGCCAGCTCACTGTGACACGATGACGTCACTGGAAAACTTTTAGGTGGGGAAGCTGGTCCAGGATACGTCAGTTCATACAAGGTTTTACCCACTCTCTGTAGAGAGGGAGACAGAGAGAAAGATAGGGTGGAGGTGAGGGATAGTTTGATATTCAGTTTCCCTGGTGCATCCTGGGAGATATCATTTCAGGAAATCCAAAACTATCTATCAATATCCATTCAACCCTATCTCCTCTTTCAGACCTCAGAGTTGTAAAGAGAAAATGTGAAGGGCAATGCATGATAGATTTAATCCGTAAATCTATTCATGCATTGCCCTTATCTACCACACACATAGATCTATTTTTAAAGGCCTTCTTTGTAAGAGCTTTATAGCCCACAGTCTTTACTATTGTATTCAGAACATGTTTGTTTGGAGTTTTTTATTCTGTAATTTTTGGCGCATTTAAGTGTCAGAAGAGAATAGACAAACATGCAATTAATCAACAAACTAAGATCATTAGCTACCAGATGGGCACAGTTCTGGCAGTATTTCCTCTCTGTAAGAAGATTTGTCAATACAGATCTCCAATGTAAATAATACACACAGTCACAGAAGAATAAAGAAAGTTCAATACAGAAAAAAAGCGGTGTTGCACAGAGAGGGAAGCTGGCAGTGGCACATTTTCTCTTTTTTCCCATACAACCAAAGAGCTTACACACATGGCTTGGAAAAGAAACCAGGTGCAGCTCACTGGAATTAACTCACTTTCACTGCTCTAGTTTTGATCCAAACAATAGAGGAATAGAGGCTGTTCTATTTTGACAATGTGGGCACTTGTATGCGTGTATTATTAAAGGTACCAGACTTGGGCCTCACACACACACACACACACACATGCACACAAACACACATACACACATTCACTTGCGAGCTGCGAGAGAGAAGGCCCCATTAGAGGAGACAATTTCTGTGGTTTAATTTGAGTGCACTGTCACTATTTGAGCACTCGCAAACAGCTACAAGCGCAGTCAGGGAACCCATCCGTTATTTATATCAATGGCTTGTTATTCACTATGAGAGGCGGTTAATTGGGCAACACAACAACTGAACAATGTGTGTTAATGTCGCAGTGAGAAAATAGTATGCCTCAGCTATTTTTTTGATTAATAGTTATAGGTATGTGTATTTATTTTGTGTAAAAGCAGGAGTGAGAGAGCGAGCATATTTAGGCTATATGAAAGGGACGATTTAATGTGACATCTGTTCGGTGATAAAGCTCTGTGTGCTTTGATGTACAAGTAATAACTGATCTTCTTTACCGTTATCTGTCTGAGACAGAGTATTTTCAGTTCCTTAAATGTAAGCCCGGCTTCTTTTTTTTTTTCTTTTTTCCTGGTATAGTGGATGGACTGTTACAGTCAGGGTTGTTCAGCATACTTCACTTTCCTTTAATCCCTGAGAACTACTTATTTTAAAGAGGAAAAGTTATTATGTCAGATTTTATTTCCTCATTACAGAATGAAGATGTAGAGGGTGGGGGATTTTTTTGCCATAATTAAATGATTACTACAAATCAGAAAATAAATGTTGATTTGATTGTAGGGCTGCCAGTTTCAGTTCAAGTGACTCTATATGTGTGCACATAAAGCTTCAGTCTCTCACTGTGAATAAGAATTATGTATACATTGTTCTCACCTCAGCTAGTCATTATTCTCAAATGTTTTTATCTCCTTCTTTTATCTAGGTGACATTTACAAAGCGAAAGTTTGGCCTGATGAAGAAGGCGTATGAGCTGAGTGTGCTGTGTGACTGTGAGATTGCCCTGATCATCTTCAATAGCACCAACAAGCTATTCCAGTATGCCAGCACAGACATGGACAAGGTCCTGCTTAAATACACCGAGTACAATGAGCCCCATGAGAGCAGGACCAACTCCGATATTGTGGAGGTAAGTTACAAGAAAACACAGACGGCACACATGCATGCACGCACAGATGCGCGGGAGCACACGCGTGCACACACACATGCACGCTCATGCAAACACACAGAAACGTACAAGCAGACAGATGGTTACAGCATTTGTGACTCATTCAGCAACCCTTACTTCTCTCTTTTGGTCTTCACATCTAACATAGAGTAAGAAATAATTGCTCCTATAGTTTCTTCCCCAAGGGTTCAGTCCCAAAATCAATCACTTTTAAGAAAGGTATTTTAAAACTCAAGCATAACATTCATTTCAAGAAAATTTGTTTATTTAAATTGCTTCCTTGTGTTCTGTGTAGACATAGAAGTGGTAGCCTATCATTGATCCAGACCATCCAGACTGTCCCCTGTGGTGTGTAATCACCAGCCCCTGCCCTTGGTGTCTTGTCACCATTGATGTGCCTCTTAGACGAGGATGTTTATCTGACTTGCTATGGACACATGTTGTTAGTGTGGCTCAATGCAATGTTTAACAGCGCTGTCAGGCCAGCCAGTAGGCAGGTAGACAAACCGGGAAATGATGCTGGCACCCTCCAGGATCCTTAAGCTCTCAATGTGAACCTGTTAAGCAACATTCACACAGTAGCTCTGACAAACCTGGTGGGCCACACACACAGACGTGCATGCATTCATGCAGAGTTTATCGCTTTCTCTTCCTCACACACATTTCCACTCACAGCATGCTTGCTGATTAATCTGCACCTGTCCCACAAAGTAATGTTGAATAAATAATATCTTTCATTAAAATGTCACATGCAGTATATTAAATATTATTTTTCTGCTTGTTATATGGATTCTTTAAAGCATTATAAAGAAGATATTGTGATAAATATGCTAATCAAGATTCCAGCCATTTTTCATTCAAGCAACATTACATTAACTAGACAATTCTAGTTGTCATACATACATGTTGTTTGTGCCATTTTTCATTCAAGCAACATTACATTAACTAGACAATTCTAGTTGTCATACATACATGTTGTTTGTGTTTCATGATAGAGAATACACAGCCTAGTTTAAGAAATATGTAGAATTAATATTATTTGTAGAAGTGTTTTCAATATAGATGGTATGGTAGACACAACATGTAAATTATTTGTCAGTTTAGAGGTCATAGAAAACCTCAACTGTTTCCATAATTGTTTTTATTGTTTGTGCATGCTCAGTTTGTAATTCAACAAGAACCTGATGGCAGCATGATGTTCATTTGTTACACTTAAGCTTGCAATTGTCAGTGAAATGTAACAAATGTATAGGCTACCTTTAGCACAAACTTACCTATGTTAATATATTTTCAAGTGTCCCTTCACTTGTTGCCCACCCATGGGTGGACAGGCCCACCGGGAACACTCCTGCTATTGGTACACTGCACCTGATTACAAAACGTTTGAATTTACACATTTATATGCTGTTGTCATTATTGCTTTTGTTCCATCACCATTTCCGTTTGGTGCAGTCAGATATGTACTGTGTTAATATAGTCCATACATCAAGTGATACAGCACTCAACATATAGCTAACCTTAATGATGAAAACGAAGAGAATGGACTGGGTGCATTACCGTGGACAGTATAGAAGCACAAATAAATCCACCAGACACAGCATAACAGCTTCTTTTTTCTTTTTCTTTTTTTTACAATGCAGTATGTGCTCTTCCCTGCCTATAATTCATATTATTGAACCTTTAAATAAGTGGTGTGTCTGGGGCTGTAACTTTGTAAGTTTAAATTATTTTTTTTTTTAAATGAAATCAGTTTTGTCATAGTTATAATATGTTGTGCAACTGTAACACATTTAATAATCATTAAAGGTGTTAAAATGTATGCTGTGTCCCTAAAGCTTAGTTTGAGTCTTTAGTTTTGAAATCCATATGAACTGCCATATTTTGTGCAAATTAATCATATCAAAGTATATCAGAAGGTTTAAAAATAATCCTCTATGCATTATATCATTTACATTAACCCATTTAGCATCCACTCATATTCCTAGTGTTCCTATAGCACTGATATCCTGTATGCACTAAGCCCTTCAGCCACTGCATACTCTATAATGTATTATCCCGGCCCAGCTCAACACATGAAGAGAGTTGTCACATGTTTCAGCAAGTGCCTGTGACGAGAGCTCCCTTCTTTGAAGCTCTCTTTTTAACTGTGTCTCCATTAGAGAGCAGAGGATGGCTAACGTGTAAACAGCCGTGTCAGGGGAAGACGCTAAAGAGCCTAGTGGGGGAAGAGTGCTGTGGAGCACTACCTACACTGTGATCCCTGGAGGACTTAGAGCAACTCACAGCGGGAGAAATCGATCTGAAGAGGCCTTCATCCTTAGCTGCAGCGTGCTAACGGGATTGGCCACAGGGCTGACACTCGCACGTTTAGAATGGGTGGGAGGAGGGTGTGTGGAGGGGGAGGGGGAACGAGGGGAATGGGGGGTTGGATCTCTCCCGCCGAGACTTGTGTGCCGCTGCTAGGCTACGTCACAGGTGCAGGAACGTGGGTGGGTTGAGTTTCGGGGGTGGCAGGAGTGAAGCGGACTTCCTGTTGAGATGATGAGGAGGAGGTCAAGAACAAGATGAACGGATAGATTTAGGGGTGTAGACAAAATCTAGGTTCACCCACCGAGGAATAATAAGACCTTAAATATGACATCTGATATGTGACATATTTAATTTAAAATTTGTAGGAAGCTCTTGTCTTTAGAAGTATACAAAATGCACGCATCTCTCTCCCTCTGTTGCTGCTGTGCCTGAAGGTGTAGTGGGAGGAGAGGCAGAGGTAGGGGAGCAGAGCTCAGAGTGTGGGCGGCTGGCATAGAGGCCTGCTACATTAGCAATAAAGCTCTATGTAATTAGCATGTCTTTGGTAGATAATTAGCGTTGTTGAGAGAGTGGCACTGAGAGCGTTGCACAGCCTCTCTAGCTACAGCATGTTTACAAGAGGCTGGAGGGCTTTTTTCTTTTTCTCCCTCACTCTACTCTGTTTTTCTTTTTTATCCAGTTTTTTATTGAACATACATAATCTCTAAGATTTTTTTTTGCTTTATGTTAAATCTACATGAGTCAGTGGATGTATGTATGTAATAGAGAATTTGGGGGATAGAAAGAGAAGGATGAATAAAGACAGAGAGAGAGAGAGAAAGAGAGAGAGAGAGAAAGAGAGAGAGGAGTGGTAGAGAAGGTCTAGATGACTCACTTTTATACAGTCTCAGCTGGGAAAGACACTTCCACAAATATCTGTGAAAGCAAAAGACCAAGAAACCAACGCTAAACCTCCTCTGAGCACAAGTTGTAAAACAAAAGGAGCACTGCTAACCAAAATGGCTACAAGCTATTATTGTGACATTCACAATGCATGACACCCAGAAATCCATAACAATAAACTGAGGACATGTTTTTCTAATATTTTGAATGCTTCAATTTAATCCCAAACCCCACGTATTCCTAGGTAGCACACAGGGGTATCTAAACCGGCAGAGACCCCCCCTAAGAGTCTGTAAAACATAGACTACACTGTGTTATCAGCTACTCATGTGGTAAGATCGACTTACTAATTGTTCAAGGAGACATTTTAGCTCATCTAGACTCCTGTAGCTTGATGAAAGCAAACACTGAGGCAGATCTTCCATCACTGAATGTCCAAACGGTTTCCAAGTGTGTTGTCCTGGCAGGTCTACTCTGTGGCTGGCTCCAGATAAAACAGTCAAACATGCAGATAGATTTCCCATACTTGATGTCTGCCAGGCTGGTTTCCTGGACATGTAAATGGCATTAGAGTAGGGAGGTGTTGGGAAATGACAAGAGAATAGAGCCATCTCTCCTTTTTTGTCTCTTTGTTCCTGCTTAAGAACAACATCATCATTTTGAGCTGGTTATTGGTTAGTTATTATATTAGTATGGGGGTTGTTAATTTCAAAAGCACATGAAAGAGTCCTTTCTTTCCCCTCCCGATTATTGCAGATCAAGCCCAAACCTAAGCGGCACTGGCTGGTTGTTGCTGTGATTGAACCCCAAATCCAACAACACATTTGGGCTGTGCCAAATCCCTGTTCCACAATATGTTTGTTTTCCCCCCTGAAATGCAGAACGCAGGTTTGTGAAACAACTAAAGGGTTAGTGAGTAAGCTGTGATAGGGATTTATATCCCCTCAATGCCTGGATATACCTGAGTGGAAGGAGGGTGCTATAATATTTGTGTGTACTGTATGTTCCTATACAGTATAAGTTATTGTGCCTATACACACACACACGCACGCACGCACACATAAAAGTGTGTTTGGCCTGTGTAAGTGTGTGCTTCACAGCATGGGTGTATGCATGTGTACATACATGGTGACAATTGGCTTGAACCCTGCAGAGCTGATGGCATTGTGATGACCTCAGCCAGCACAGCACACTCTGAAGCCATTGGCTCAAGTATCACATGGAATAGCACATGGCTCCTGGTGCTGAGCTGACCTGCCTGCCTGCTTGCCTACATGCCAGAGGAAAGGCTGTTGGCCAATCCCATTTCCAGCAGATTAACCTAATCTGAAAGTTCAGCTCACCCCGTAATCTTAAACAGCAGCAGCAGGGACTTGCCTCCCCACCTATCCTCAACTAATTTCTCCCCCTTCTTTTCTCTTTCTCTCCCTCTGTCCTCACCTAGAAGGAACTATTGAATGAGAAGGGGGAGGGGAGGGACAGAGGGATAGATGAGTACAAGAAGAGAAGGAGGGAGGGAAAGAGGGATGGAGGGAGGAAGGCTGGTAATTATTTCCAAAGGTCATTCTGTTAATGACTACCCGCTTGGCTAATGAGATTCAGCAAAGCTCCCTCACCATGTTTCACCCCGCGTATGTTTCACCCGTGTGCCGAGATGTGTGAGAAGCACAGGTGTGATTTCATCCCAGTGACAGTACCACTGGAGAGAGGGAAAGAGGGAAAGAGGGAGGGAGGGAAAGTAGGGGGGTGGGGATGGTGTAAATGAAGAA